CACTGAGATCCTCTGAGAAACAGGCTCACCGAGCTCAGGGGGATTCACAGTCCTCCTCCTCCTGGGGGTGTTCCACACTCTTGGGGCTCTCCCAACTCTCCTGTGCCAAGTCTGGCAGCACTCACCGATCTCCTCATATCCTTGTGCGACACCTATGGCAGAAGGACCAGGGATTCCCCGGAGATGCAGGAAACATAGGCACAAGTGGCTGCTTGCCTGCCCAGGATTGCCCAAGAGGCCAGTCCTGGATCGGCTTCTGTTTCTCCTCCCCAGCAACCCTAACACGGTGGAGCAGCAGGTTCACATGTGGAGGCAGCTCTCACCCCTCTGCCCGAGGGGCCCTTGACCCTCCCCAGAACTCCCATCCTCTCTCCTGTTTGTCCACAGGAGTCTGTTCCAAAGATGTCCCTCTGGAGCATCGTGTCCCACATGCCGCAGGAGGAGTTCAGCGGCATCTCTGCGGAGTTTCCCCGGAGCCTGCGCTGTCTCCTGGCTGACTGGCTGGAGAACCAGCCCTGGTGAGTCCTCCATGCCCCTTCTCCCTGGAGCAGTGTGGAGTTGAGGGTCACTCCAGGGAAGGTGGAGGATCTGTGCCCGCCCTCCCAACTTTTTCCCTTCTCTAGGGAGTTCATCAATGGCTCAGATGCCTTCTGCACCAGCGTGGCCAACAGGATGCTCTCATCCATGCTGGAGAAGCTCCACAGTGCTGCTGGCAGCGATGGGCAGCAGTGCCAGATCCTCCAGCAAGTCAGCAGCATCGAGGTGCGCAGAGACCCCAGGGGCCATGTCCCGCTGGGATCACAACTGGCTCCAAGGAAGATTTTTTTGGTTATTTTATGCTGGAAGGGGCCAATGCCTCAGGATGGTTCCCCCATGACATCCATTTTCAGCACCATTCACAGGCAACAAGCTTGTGTGAACTCGACGACTGGTGTTTTGGGGTGTTTCAGAGGACAGAGGGGGTTTCTCTGTACCCCGGGGCTGACAGTGGTTCTGCAGCCTCTTCTGTAGCCAGCAGCCCTCAAGGAGCTGCCACATTCCCCCCAAGACAGACCCTGACCCCGTGGGGACACTTGGGAGCCCCTCAGCCCCTTATCTCTCTGCTCACCCCCAGCTGTTGGCGCCCTGGGGGTCACCTCACCAGATCTTCCCCATTTTCTGCTCAAGGGCTTGATTTCTCCTTTCTCCATGCCGTGTGGGGCTGCATTTCCTCCTGCTGTGGGTGCTGAGTTTCATTTTTGGGGCTGTTTCTCTTATCGAGGGCTGTTGGAATCACTCTGTCCCTCTCCCACTGTCGGATTTATCCCCTCTCTCTGGCCAGCAGAGCTCGGAGCACCAGGGCTGAGCAGGACTCGCTCCCAGAGCCCTGTTCTGGTTGAAAACTCTGCTTTTTGGTAACAGGCGTTTTTATATCCAACATTTGGGAAGGGATTAGCTTTAGTCACAACTTCTGGGGAACAGAGTGATTTTCCAAAACAAGACTGTTGCTTTTTGCAATGGTTGTAGGAAATGCACAGCTGTTTCAGCTTAGGGGTTTTTTATTTAAAATCCTGAAGCAGAGCTGCCCTCCCAAGTGTGTGTTCCCTCCTCCCTCCATCCCTCATCCCAGAAACACCAAACCCTTGTTCCCTCCAGCTCTGGCTGGGCTGTTCCCTGCTCCTGGTGCTGCTGTGGGCGGTGGGAGCTGGGTCCTCGCCAGGATGGGTAACAGCAGGGCTGGGGGTGCAGCTGGAAGCCAAACCTGGGACCTGTATTTTCCCTGGAAGAGCTCCCAGTGCTGCCAGTGCAGCGTCCAGACTGCCGGGGGTCCGGGGTCTGCAGTAGAGTTGCCTCCCCTCAGCACAGGAGCCGACGGAGCAAGGCTGCGCCCTGTTGCGTTCTGCTGCTGTTTTGGGAAGTGGCTAATTTGGGAAATGCACGAAGGCTGGAGGAGCTGGCACAGGACACAGGAGACAGAGCCAGCCGGGGAATTCCTCTCCCTGTTTTCAGTGGAAGGCATCGATCTGTCCAGGGCAGCTGAGAGTCTCCCCCAGGTGTCAGGCTGGCGAGGCTCGAGGAGATGCTCAGAGAAATGGATTTGTTTTGGTTTTTGGGTTTTTTTTTAATTCGAAGTTGATTCTTTTTATACAAAACATGGAGATGATGATCCTTGTGGTCCCTCCAACTCTGGATATTCCGTGATTCTATGCACAGTTTAAAGTGTTTTTAAAGCTGGAAATCAGCTCCATCATGGCCATGGAACCCTTGAGTCACCTTGGCCCAGTGTTGTGGGGAGGGGCTGGGTTGGGAGTGAGGGACACATGTCCTGCCCCACCTGACACCCCACGTTTGGCTCCCCTAGAACACCTACCGCCGGGACCCGTTGCGGCGCCATCCTGAGAGCCGTCCTCGAGGGCGAGAAGGCTGCGGTGCTCAAGCGGGTGGGTGGTCCTTGCCCCCCTCTCAGGCACCCTGAGGCACAGGGCTGGCTGCAGACCCTGCTGATCCCGCTCTGCCCCACCCCAGGACCACCACCTGCCCCTCAGCTTCCACCGGCGGCAGGAGGAGCTGAAGTTCAGCTTGGGGCTGCAGCGGCTGCAGCACCGTGTCAATGAGATCCAGGCGCTGCAGGATGGCTCCGTGGGCAAGGGGCCAGGGCGGGATGGTGCCGTGCAGAGTCCTGTGGCCAGCGCTGGTCCCCAGGAGCTGCCCACCCTCATCCTGGATGCTGTGAAGGACCTGGAGGCAATGAAACAGCAGGTCCTTAAGAGAATCCAGATATGGAAGAGGGAACAGCAGCTGGCAGGGAACGGAACTGTCTTTGAGGAGAACCTGGCACCGCTGCAGAAGAGGTGAGAGGGCACGGGGCAGGGGTAAGGGACCCTGAGCATCCCCCTGCTCCCTCCCCCAGCCCAAGGGGCTCTGAGTGAGTGGTGGTCCAGCGCTGAGGGTCCCTCTCTCCTCAGGTGCGAGAGCCTGGTCGAGGTTCACTTCCAGCTGCAGCAGCAGGTGATGGTGGCGAGCACAGAGCTGGGGCCTGAGCTGCTGCCCCAGCTCCTGGAGCGCTGCAATGAGGTGTTGTCCAGCCTGGTCAAGAGGTAATGAGCTGTGAGGCCATGAGGGCCTGCAGGGTGGGTCTCATGGTGGGTCTGCAGAGGCTGGTGGCAGAGCTGGCAGGTGCCATAGTGTCCCTGTGTCCCCCAGCTCCTTTCTGGTGGAGAAGCAGCCCCCACAGGTGCTGAAGACTCAGACCAAGTTCCAGGCAAGCGTCCGGTTCCTACTGGGCCCCAGGCTGCTGAAGGCAGCACCCAAGCCCTACATGGTGCGGGCTGACATGGTGACAGAGAAGCAGGCACGGGAGCTGGAGCACAGCACCTACAGCAGTGCTCTCAGGTGAGCAGCCAGGCAGCTGGCATGGGGGCGAGGAGTCTGTCCCACTGCCATGACCCCCCTGACCACCCCTTCTGCCCAGTGAGAGCACAGGGGAGATCATGCACAACGTGGTGGCCCTGGAGACCAACCCCACCAGTGGGATCTGCTGTGCCAACTTCAAGAACGTGGTGAGTACCACGAGCGAGTGGCCAGGCTCGGGGCTCTGCTGGAGGCTCCATTGGGTTTCTGGGGGTCCCAAGGTTGGTGCATGCCCAGGTGATGCTCAGTTCCTCCCTCCCCAGCTGCTGAAGAAGATCAAACGCTGTGAGCGGAAAGGCTCTGAGTCGGTGACAGAGGAGAAATGTGCCGTTCTGTTCAGCACCACTGTGGCCTTGACCCCCAGCAACATCTCTGTCCACCTCCAGGTACTGGCCCCTCTTCCACAGGATGGTGATGGATGTGCTGAGCCTTCCCCTGTAGGATACCTGTGCTGGGCTGGGATGGTCCCAGGGCAGCCAGTCCACTTGGCTCCGGGGGCCTCGGGGGGCTGAGGGAGGCCACTCTCTGCCCCCAGGTTCTGTCTCTACCCATTGTGGTCATTGTCCACGGGAACCAGGACAACAACGCCAAAGCCACCGTGCTGTGGGATAACGCCTTCTCCGAGATTGTGAGTGCCACAGGCCTGAGGGAAGGAGCTGGGACACGGTGGTTGGGTGTGCTCTGGAGTGGGGGAACAGCTGCAGGCTGGGGCAGGAGCCCTGGCACAGGGTGGGATGCAGCAGGGACCCTGTCCTGACGCCCTCCTGCCCGCCCACAGGAGCGGGTGCCCTTTGTGGTGGCTGAGCGGGTGCCCTGGGAAAAGATGTGTGACACCCTGAACCGTAAGTTCATGGCGGAGGTACAAACCACCACAGGACTCCTCAAGGACCACTACTTCTTCCTGGCCCAGAAGATCTTCAATGACCACAGTGCCAGCCTCAAGGACTTCCAGAGCCGCAGTGTCTCCTGGGCCCAGTTCAACAAGGTGACTGGGAGGGCTGACCAGGGTGGGTAGTGTCTGGCATGGCCCTGGGGAGCTTCATGGCCTCTCTCTGCTCCAGGAGATGCTCCCTGGTCGGGGATTCACCTTCTGGCAGTGGTTTGATGGAGTCCTTGACCTCACCAAGAGATGCCTCAAAAGTTACTGGTCGGACAGGTGGGTGCATCAGGGTTGGGCTTGCCAGGTCCTGGTCCCACTCCAGCACCCTGGGAGGGTCCTGATCCCACTTTCCCATCTTTCCACCCCTCTAGGCTCATCATTGGCTTCATCAGCAAGCAGTATGTCTGCAAACTGCTGAGCACAGCGCCGGATGGGACCTTCCTGCTCCGCTTCAGCGACTCAGAGATTGGGGGCATCACCATCGCTTACGTCACCCAGAGCAAGGACGGTGAGGAGTGGGGTCAGGTGCTGGGATGGGGGTGTCCTCATGGCCTGAGGATGGGAGCATTACAGTGAGCAGGCACTGGAGCTCTGTTCTGTGTCTCCCCTCACTCAGGCTCCAGCCAGGTGGAGAACATCCAGCCCTTCTCTGCCAAGGACCTGTCAATCCGCTCCCTCGGTGACCGCATCCGGGACCTGGGGCAGCTCCGCAACCTGTACCCCAACATCCCCAAGGATCAGGCATTCGGGAGTCACTACAACAGTGAGCAGGGGGAGCCAGAATGGGCCCTGGACTGTCCCTGTGCACCCCAGCAATGCTGTGGGGTGGTCTGGGGTCTCACGCAGGTGATCCCAGGGCTTGCGGGGGCAGCCAGTGCCAGCAGAGAGGGTTGGCAGGGCATGGCAGGGGTAGTGGCTCATGGGTGCTTCTCCTCCCCGAGCAGAAGAGCAGACAGGCAAGGATGGACGTGGCTACGTTTCCACTGCCATCAAGATGACGGTGGAAAGCGAAAGGTGTGTGCAAAGCCGTGACCATGCCAGAGATGTGTGTGTGGGGGCCAGGGTTTGCAGAGACCTCTGGCCAGGATATGCATCCCCCTGGGCAGGGGGATCACTGACTGGGCAAAACGGGGCTGTGCTGGTGAGCGAGGAGCCCCCCATGGGCACCCCGAGCTGCACTGGTGCACATCTGTGTACCCACCGCCCCTCACCGGCAGCTCACTGGCACATGTGCCCCTTTAGAGCCTGAACCTGGCAGTGCTGATGGGAACAATGTGCTTTTGTAGGGACCAGCAGCCCTCAACCACCATGGGGGGCCCCTCCGAGCCCCCCCAGGCGCCGATGTGCATCCTGCCCATGCTGCAGCCCAAGCTGCACCCTGAGAGCCTGCAGCCAGTGCGAAGCCCCATCTGGTGAGTGCCCAGGGCAGGGGCAGACCTGCTGTGTGCGGGGATGGGGGCTGTGGAAGAGCACCATCCTCAATATGAACCCCTCTGTGTCTCCAGTACCCCCACTCACTTCTACCCCCAGACCGTCCCCACTGGCTACCCCACACCCAACAGCAACATCAACATGATGGTTCCCAGCAACCGCACCCCCTCCTTCCCCAGGTAGGAGCAAGGCCAGGGCAGGGTGGGGGGCATGGTGGGCTCTCCACCACCCCCAGACAGGGTCGGGGGTGTTCCTCCCCCATCTGAGTGCTCCTTTCCGCAGCACGTCTCCGATGCTCTCCCCATCCATGGCCATGGAGTCTGTGCTGCCCCACTGCCAGGACACTGTTTTCAGGAGCTCTGGGTAAGACTGGGCACAGGCCACCCTGCCCTGCCCCCCCCTTCTCTTCACCCCAGGCAGGCAGACCTGGAGAGACCATCGTCAGCTGACCAGTGCTCCCAGTGCTCTGCTCTGCTGGTGCTTCCTGGAGGAGACCCACACCGGCCCCCCAAACCAAGCACTGCCTCCCCATGCCTTGGGGCTTGGCAAGCAGGGAAGTACCCTATGACCTACACCAAACCCCTCCTCATTCTTCGTCCCCCACAGGCCCTTCATGCCCAGCCAGTACATGCCTGGAGAGCCCTCGCAGCTGCTGCCCGGGGGTCCCTCATCAGAGGTGCAGGATGAAGAGATGGCTGAGCTGCCCTCGTTTCCCATAGTGGACGCATCAATGCCGAGCTCTCCGCAGTGGTAAGCACCGGGGGATCAGTGGGGGGAGCCCCCCCTGTTCCCCCAGTCACCATGCTGCCTCTGTCCCCAGGCCTTTGCCCAGCATGGAGCTGCCGTCCAGCTCAGACATTGACCAGTTCCTGCAGGATGTGTCCTTGGAGAACCCCATGCTGTTGCCCTCCTTTCCACCTACCCTGCAGCGCAGTGGGTACCCCAACTCCAACCCCTCTTGCTGGGAGCTGGGGGAGACACGGTGGGATGACAGCGTCCGGCCGGGACACACGTGAGGGGGCTGCGGGGGGGGAGGGCATCGTACTGGAATCCCCCCC